CTCTAGTATTATTTTTTTAATTGAAATTTCCATCTATGTTATTGTTATGTTCCAACTGTCATTTATTTCAGTCAAAGTAGCCAACTGGGCTATATCTATACTAAGGCAGTAATGAGAGCGACATCAGGGTTTAGCATGCTCCCCTCTACTACCAAAAGATGCAAAGGCCAAATTTTAACACAGTGCTCATAAAGGAGGCAAGACTTTGCACTGTTTTTAAAGGAAAAATTGCAAAAAAGAAAAATCTATCTTTTTCTGAATTCTTAAGAAAACTTATGGTATTATTCTATGTATAAACTAAGATAGAATTTGTAGTTTTTCCATCCACATTTAAGATATTACATAGAATTATCTTGCAAATCCAAGAGTACTAGATGGTTTTTTTGTGTTTAAAGAAGCTTTCTAGTTAGGTATATATATATATATATATATATATATATATATATATATAATACTAATATATTAGTATAGTATATATACTATATATATTGTGTGTGATGTGGTGTGTTTTGTATATATACATATATCATATATATATGTGATAATGTTATATGGTATAGTTAGTATGTATGTGTTGGCTGTTATATATATATATAACTATATACTATCAGTATATATATATTATATATATTATATATAATATATATATAATAAAATAATTGAGAAAGGAAGATAACGGTAAAATAAAGGTGTTCAATATGTAATAAAGAAAAAAAGAGAGAGATAGTAGATTATGTTTGTGTGTGTTTGTCTGAAAACTACCCATGTAAGCTTGAATATTGTGGAAGATTCTATTCCACATATGACAACTTTGTTTTGGTGACTGTATTTTGGTGGTGGACATGTTATGCATATGTCACATGATCTTTCTCTATCCCACATGTGACCCACTGTCGAGTAAGGCAGGCTATAGATCTCCCTTTGACTAAAAAGAGAAGATTATGTTGTGGATGTAGAGAGAGAGAACGGGTAGGATGATAGAAAAGCAAGGTAAATTCTTCTTTACATCTAACTTCAGTTTTTTTTAACATTGGTCCCTTAAATTTTCAAATATTTTGGAAGTTTCATGCAAATCATTGAAATTGCTAATTAATCCCTCTATTAGCGTAATCATAGGGTCAAACTGATAGCACTGATTTAGGATCTGATAGCATTGATTTAGGATCTGATAGCATTGACCTTCCTTATTTATAATTATCATTAATTAGAGGATTGTAATTAGCATTGATTTAGGATCTGATGTAATCCCTTGTACTCTATTTATACGCTCCTATTGTGAATGAGAAAATCAACAATTCATTCAATCTCCTTCATTATATGGTATTAGAGCCTTAGGTTCAATTCTTTTTTCCGATCCTGCCTCACGCACACAACAGCCCTATCGCCTCCGACTTTATGGCCAACAACACCAGCACCACCACCGGTCTCACTGGCCAACTCCTTGTCGCTGCCAACTCCTCATCCCCACTGAACTTCCAGATTCCATCAATTAATGTCAAGCTCGATCGGACGAACTTCTCCTTATGGTGCAATATTGTTCTCCCGGCGCTTCAAGCCTTTGAGTTGGAGGCTCACATCCTTACTGATGACTCGCCTCCTTAGTACAAACCTCAAGTCGTCGACGTTACGACTCCTCCCGAGTCAAATCCAGAGTACATCACTTGGCGTCATTGTGACCGCTTTGTACTCCTCGATCTGTCTTCGCTCAACTCTTTCTGAGCATGCACTCGCCACCGTCATTCGCGCTACGACCGCCCGTCAATCCTGGACTACCACCGATCGAACGTTTTAGGCTCAGTCTTGGGCCCGTTGAATGGATCTCAAAAACCAACTTCAATCTCTCTCGAAGGGCTCTTTATCCATCATGGAGTACTTCGAAAAGAAACGTTCAATTGCTGATGCACTTGATGAGAATCTTCAACCTATCTCAAATGAAGATCTCACTGGCTATATCTTGAGTGGACTTGATAGTTCGTATGGCCCCTTTATTACCTCCTTCATGATGCGACCCGAAGAGACTAATGTTGATGATTTACTTGGTCTTCTACTGCAAGAAAAAGAAAGGATTGAGCGGGAGAATCAACGTCATCAGTCACCATCTGATTCGCTGTCGCCTCTAACTACTAGCTCGATCATTGCTCCATCGGCCAACGCAGCCTACACCAATTTGCGTGGCAGATCTTCCTCCCACTACAACC